AATTTAAAACCTCAAACCTTAATTTTGAAATTGTGATACTAAAATACCTTATTTATGTATTGTTCTCATTAATCAATTGCATCATGGGCTTGGATTTAGGCCCATTTCACTAAACCCACTTGACCCATTTCATTTTTTCTATATGTGTAAATTCACTTCACACTGAAGGTATGAAATCTCTAACCCTGGGCAAATCTCATCTCCTTCTCTTGCACTCATATTATCTTTCGTTTGGTCTTTGATCGTCAAAGTGCAAATGATCGTCGGACCTTTTTCTCGATCGATAACATTTGCCTCCTAACGAGATGTATGTAGGTGACATCTACGTGGAAGGAAGATGGTTGAGATTCTATTGACACATTTTTTGAGGTCAATAGCGCTGCTCAAAATTTGTTAGTCGCGAGATTTCTTTAGGAATGTGGCTAATAGATTCTGTCTGTTACTTGACCTTTTCTTTCAGGACTTCTACATTATTTCGGGATGTTCTACTGTTGATTATTTTGTTTCATTATAAGTTGGTTTTTTGACAGATCTCTGAGTATATATACATTTTTCCTGAATATATACTCCAAAATTAGATATTGAAGTCCTTGCTTTTTGAGGTTCTTCTTTGCCTTCCCATTTGCCTATAAATCTCTGTATTCGGAAGTTCTGCATAGGAGACATAATATGTGATCCCTGTTGTGTCTGAACTCATATTCACAAGCACCAAAATTAATTGATTTGTGTACTGCCCAAAAAAGTAGTAATATTCAACTATGAATGAAAAAATCTTACTCTGAATTGATAAGCACTTTTTTTCAACTTGAATTTTAATGAAAGCTGCATAGCTAAAATGACTAAACTCATATCATGATGGGCATGTGCAGAAGTCATTGATTATTTTTCATATGATTTGAAACTTGAATATCAATATTCTTGTCACTGCTCCCAAATTTAAAAAATAAATGAAGTAATTTTGTGATATGTGCATCTTTCCAATGACAATAAAAACTCTTTCTTTGTATGACCTAACACTATACATGGACCATTACCTTGTTACCATTTTGATNAACCCCAACCCCTTCCACTTCTACTTTTTATGGTAGGATTGAATCAGAGCGTCTCAGATGAAATAAATTCTTCTGCTAAAAACTTCTTTTCAGACTTTTGTTACTCACTCAGTCACTTGTGATGAAGGCAAAAATATACCTCCTTTGTAACACGTGTAGGCCACTTTGTAAACTTGTATTTTTCTTTCTCGTGTTTATTTTTTATCCTTTTTATTCACCTTTCTTCTTATTATTGATCACAAGCTTATTTTCTTTTAAATATCATTTTTTAAATATCTAATTTTGCCTCATTTTCTTTAATCTGAAATCCACAAAATGATTGTGCTGCTAGTGGACATTTGGTTTACGTTTTCTTAGCTAACTTCCCTTGAGGAATCCAATTGGGTAATTACTAAGACGCTGTTTAATAAATACTATTCGACTCGTAAAAATCATTTAACTGAAAATTGAAATTGATAAATTTCCCTTCTAATTATGGGGCACAGGGAATTTCAACAGACGGAAGAAATGCATAAAGTTGGAAAGAACGCGAACTTTTACTTTGATGATAGAGTTTTAAAGAGGTTACGAACGCATACTAATATAGAACCCTATATTTTATAGCTGTGGTTGTCAAAAGGTTCTCCTTTTGAACTTTCCAAAACATACCATTGAAGAGATTGCATGCATTCATATATATGGCTTTGAATATCAACAGAGATTTATAGCAGTTCCTAAATGATTGATCTGTGAATGCACAGTTATCAGCACTCAGCAGTAACATAATTATAGCAGTCATCGACTAAATAACGCATAAGATTGTGTATACGTATATATTGACTAGAGAATACTAATTAATATTATCTTTGATTTTTACCTATCAATATGATTTGATTTTCTGTTCATAGTGCACGTTTCGATTACGCTTCTTGTACAACAATGGTCGACATCAGCTTTAACACTCCGTCTATGTGTAGAAATCTTGACTATTGATTGAAAAAAGTAGTGTTGATATCAATGCATAAAAAATTGTCAACTCAGATGACGTCAAAAGAACCGTCAAACTTAATGTTAATGTAGCATGACTGTGCAAGTTTTTGATGATTCAAGGTGACAGAAAAAGTCAGCTACAAATGATGCAAAAATTATGACTTTTTACAGGCCAGAAAAGATGCTGCCGTTTTGCTTTTAGTGGCCCGATTTAATATANTAATATATATATATATATATATATATACACACACACTCAGTACTCTTCGGTCTCTTGGTTGAAAAAGGATTGTGCATGGTTACCCTAATGAATATTTTACTGTCAGAAGATTACTTGATGCAAAGTTGAATACATATGTTAAAGAACAAACAATACACTCACGAGCATTAGAAATTTTGATGACACGTTAAAAACTCGCTGATTCTATGAATGCTCGTCGGTTTCAAATTCAAGAATTCGTTGATTTGCAACCGAATGGCGAATACTGATGGAAATTTGAGGGAAAAAAATCTCGAAGTTTTATATCCAACAGTGAACTCTAATCCTACTTTGAATAAAATCGCAAAATAATCCTAAAACTAATCGTAACCCCACCCCCCACCCCAAGTCCATCCTTGATCTATCTTCAGTCATACTAATTGAAAAAAAAACTTTGAATGTTAATTTCATCCTTGTCTTGTTTATAGTAGTGTTCATGTACCCAAAATTCTTTTCTTTGAGAAGAAACGCCATTTTTTTTCATTTCTGGTGATATACCAGTTTCTGAGGAACAATTCGTTTGAATTCAAAACCTAAACAATCCATTGGTCAGCACTGTCATCTCCTACCCTAAAAGCCAAAACTAAATTAATTAAAAGGTGAAAATAAAATTTTTAAGAACCCTTTTCTCCATGTTGTATCTTATCTCTTAAGGCTTTTTTGCAGAATCATGACCTCAGCTCTCCTTTTCCACTCAAAACTAATCACCTCTGCAGTTTCAGGTTTCAGAATACATTTTCATTAATTAAATGTGTCAATGTTGAGCTTTTTATGTGAATCCTTCTTGCCTTTTCTTCTCCCTTTAGCCTTTTCTGAAGCTTATATCAACACTTGCAATATTACTCATAAAAACACATATATGCACGCGTGTTATTAATTATTTTTTTAATATTTTTTCTACCTGATGCTACCCTTCTTCAAACTATTCTACCAAGGATCTTGATTTAATTTTGTTAATTTAATTTCTATGCCTTTTAAAACTATGGATTCCCTCAAGAATCGATATCTGGTTAGTAGACATAGAGAAGTAGGTTACTCAACCTTTTTAACTCTTATTAAATTGTCAAGAGAAATACATTTTAATTCAGCAGAGTTTTGATAGTAAAGAACAATTGAGATCGTCATCTCCCACTTTTTCAGTGATCTTTTTGAATTCAACGAGGCGGTGCCGTGTTTATAATCATATATATAATTTGAGAGAGAAGTTCCCTGATCATACGGTGGTCAACCGTCGATGATGTGTTTATATTAGTATTGTGTATGTCTTTCTTGGTAACAAGTGCAAAACTAGATCATGAAAGTTTAGGACATGTACTCTTTACCATTTTCAAGTTATTTTCTATTTTTGATTTTCCAAAACAGTGAAAATGCGTTCTATTTTTTATTTTCGAAATCACGTTTTTGAATCAAGTCAAAATTTTCAAAAAGCGTTTTGAGTCTTTTCAAACCAATTTTTCAAAATGCCAAAAGAACACATTTTCAAACAATCTCAAAATGAATACTCAAAACACAAAACCCAAAATAAATTCAAAACTCAAAATACAAAAGTGAAGTACAAAGAGAACAGCCCCTTAGATTTTCATAATTTTTTAGTTTCGTTCTATGTTTGATGGGAGGCATAGTCCATTAGCTCAACCAGCCCTCCTGAGTATATCGTATTTCTTAAGTTGGCGGTTCGGTATTTTGTCCCCCTTTTAAGGAGTATTCCTCTTTTGTTTAATAAACTAGTAGGAGTTCACTCTCTCAATGAATAGGTGGTGTTAAAAATAATATATAGCTAAGCATGGATACACACTAGGATACATATACTCTCCAATAAAAATGACCTTTAATAAGCATAACCAAACATGCTTTTGATATAAGATGAATGTAATGATTATGAAATGTCTAAACTGGTTAACAAATTAAGACTATTCATTCAAGATTTCAACTCAACAATTAATTGTTGAAATTATGTTATACTGTTCTGAATAAAACCCTAGATATTCTAGGGATTATGATGTTCATCAAGAAAATGAATTCCTTGGTTAAAAGTACATATTGAATAGAGGGAAAAAAAAAATCATAGCCCTTTATGACTACAGCAGATGACCCCACTCTGCAAATTTCAATTTCGTACGTTTTTCCTTCTCTTTAAATAAATACTACTTATCTAATTCCTTTTCCCTTCTACTTAAATGCTGCCCAATTCTTTGATCTCTCTCTCTCTCACACATACACACGCAGCTTTTCTACTTCTGTATGAAGTTCTGAAGCTTAATTTATGGTTGATATTGCAACAATTTTTTCAGATTTATTGATCACCTTATGGATATCAACCATCAAAAATTCACAAATCCCACTTGGGACCCTAATATGGTAATGGAAGATCACCATTTTCGTCATGATCATCAATTCACTTTTGATCATACAATCTGGACAAATTATCCTCTTCAAAATCTTTGCACACCCTCTTCATCATCAACTCCGTTACAAGCTCCAAATATACTTAGCAATAATATGATGAATCTTGAGAAGCAAGAAGTGGAAGAAGAACCCGAGGAAGAATTAGGAGCCATGAAAGAAATGATTTTCAAGATTGCTGCAATGCAACCAGTAGATATTGATCCAGTCCCTATTCGGAAGCCTAAAAGGAAAAATGTCCGTATAAGCGACGACCCTCAAAGCGTGGCAGCAAGGCACAGAAGAGAGAAAATAAGCGAAAAAATGCAAATTCTGCAAAGACTTGTGCCCGGAGGTACAAAGATGGACACTGCATCCATGCTAGATGAAGCCATTCGCTACGTCAAGTTCTTAAAAAGGCAAATTCGACTGCTCCAAGCAAATCACAACCGACCATCTATAGGAGTTGCAACCACCACTTCAACAGAAGATTGGCTGGCAGTAACAATGGGTAAAGATCCAGGCTCCGCCTCCACCTCTAACGCCATCATAACAGGGACATCATATACATTTGGAGGTAATGTGTTTGGGGGATCTCATTTGCACTGAGTAATTGGAGTTATTAATCAGTTTCATTGTTATGCTGTTATTAATTGATTCCAGTATAAACTGAAAAAAAAAATGCAGATATAATGGTAATGATTAAGCCAATTATTACAAGGGTTTCTTTTTCTATAAATTAAGATCCATGTGATGATAGGGAAAGGTTTGTTACAATTTTGTTGACTAAAAAGCTTTGTATGTGCAGCTTTGATGATGTAATAAGAAAATGTTTCAAGATTGTAAGTATTAATTTTATATTATGAGCATGTTTGAGCCTTATTTTTGTGTAGAATGCATTTTATAATAGTAGATTTATGGAGAATGTATAGATAAAAAATAAAAATAAAAGTTTTAGATTTGCTAGTAATATTATTTTATTGAAAAATGTGTTGTTAAAAAGAAGACAGATAAAATGTATTTTAAAAAAATGAGGATCGATGGCATATGGTCCACCGAAGCCCAAAAAGATTGTTTTTGCAGTATGAGATAACGAAAATCAAGCAAGAGATCGGTTATCATGATCAAACCCTACGTATGCACGCATGCTAGCTAGCAAAGTTCTTGAATTTTCTTCGTTAACCCATTTATACACTTCTTTCCCTGATTGTAACCTTAAATTCACAGTGCAAATCTCAGTAATAGTGTCTGCGTCTGTGTGTACGGCATGGGTTGATTTAAAGGTATAAATGACTATTTGGTTAAAGGCATTAACTGATGGATTAACATGTAGTTCTTTTTATCAGATATCCATAGCTAGGAGTGGCTTTAATTGAATTATGGAGGTTAAAAATTGAACTTTCTGTATAAAAATTCGAGTCAGAAAATCCATAGTGATGAAATTTCCATATATTTAATGCTCCATGTATACACTTTCTTTGACACCTCATCTTGTGAACTTGCCATAGTTTTAGCTAGATGTTTAAGATCTCAAGGTCTAACTATGTACAAAATTGGGGTTTCATCTTGAAAACTTAAAATGCTTTTTTGGTAGTGCTTTTGAGTAACTTAGTGAGTGCTACAAAATTTATGGATAAAGTGTATAATAAATTGTGTCTCTCGTAGAAACCAATCATAGACTTCGTATTTAAATGACGTAGGACTTTGTTTGCACCAGCAATGCTTCATTCGAAAAACGTATCAACGTTATCTTGACCTCTTTCAAGAGATAGTCTATCCATCTCACTTTTTTACATCATAGAATAATGGGTTAAATACGCCCTTTTTTATATATAAAATTGGTCTACTTCATGATGGAAATTAGTGTTACATCCTAATCAGGTTGGCACCTACCTTGCAGTCCCTTCATAAAGCAGCATCACGATGTTAAATGAATATACTTCAATATTCGAATACAAGTCAAAATGGGTTAATCAAAAAGCCAAATGCGGATACAAAATGGACAAACGAAATCGATAAGTGCAGCGAAGTAAGAGGTCATTAGCAATGTAACTCATACACCAGCCAAAGCCCAAGGCCACATAGGCAATGACCTAGGGCCTAAAGAAAGATTAAAAGCTCAACACAATTTTTTCTTTATTTTTTTGAGTTGAATCCTCCATTTCCTATAAAAAGTCGTGACAAAACCACGAGGTGGGAATAAATAAGATACTCAAACCACTTGGGCACTTACATCCGGGCTTAAGCCAGTCAACCCACCCTAATGAACTGTTATTTCTGGAGTATCTCCTTTCAAACAATATGACATAGTTACCTTAATAAATCTGCACAGCGTAACGGTATAATCAACAGAATCAGAAAAAGAATTCGAGCCCACCGACTTCACGATGTTTCCTTAAAACGAATTTGCGGCCTTCAAAAGGTGCTTAAGGCATCCAGCAATCGTTTCCCAGGATAGAACGAATTTCGTCTCCTACGGAAGCAGCACAACAATCT